GTCTGCTGGGAGAATGATGATGTTTTTGTCCTTGCTAAGAGTGGTGAGTGCATCCCTCTCCTCTCTACTGATGTTGGAAGGTGGTGGTTTGGCATTGCTGAGGCAGGCTGAAACTTTGATTCTGACTTGTTCTGCTTCACCCTCTTTCAGTTTGTTGTTGCGGATGGCTGATTCTGTGGCTGTGATCATCTCCACCAGAGGAATTCTACTTGGTGCAACCGCAAAAGTTCAGTCCCCTGGCAAGAATCTCTGTCTCTGGCTGGGTGAGCTGTCTGTCAGATAAATTCTTCACCCACTTTTCTGTCTCCCTGGCATGAAATTGACTACTGGAGTGTTGTCCTACACTGAATGTGTTATTAGGCCAGAGCAGCGAAGCGCTGCGAAGGCCTTTTGTAATCGCTCTGTTCAGGCCCGAGCTGCAATTTTTTCCCCCAAATGAATTGGCGTTTTGGGGGGCTTAACATATCCCAAAAGTCACCAAATTTGGCTGACGCATCAGGACTGGTGAAAAATTACGTATTTTAAGGGCGTGGCAAAAATCGCAACAGAAACGGCTCAAGAGCGCCACCTAGAAATTTTCAAAATACCCTCCACCATAACCTTAGTTTGTCATAGAAACATGAAATTTTGTAAGCTTGTCCAATTCCCCAAGATGCACAGAAAACCCTCTGGCACCAATGTTGTACGATAAACAGGAAGGCAGCCATTTTGGAATGCCCGCCCAATTTTCACACCTTTTGGCAGTTTACAGCCTCTGCATTTGAATGAACTCCTCCTAGGGATTTCGATCAATCTGTTTCAAACTTGGCCATTTTGGTCAAAAGGCATGGGGGACGCAAAGTTATCTAAACGGTTTGTTTCGGAGCATGCTGAAGGGCCAGACCTCAAAGTTTGACATTTCTAGGAGGCGCTCTTGAGCCGTTTCTTTTGCGATTTTTGCACCGCCCTTAAAATACGTAATTTTTCACCAGTCCTGATGCGTTTGATGGTTTGAGAGGGGAGTGAAGGAAGCAATTTATGTAAAAAGAGAAAAGCCATATCTTAACAGAGGAGGAGGCCTCAAGATTTTCCACTTTCAAAAACATATAATGCAACTTTAAGACTGATTCCCAGCTGGTCTTCACACTTGATGGGAACAGAGGGGCCTAGTCTGTGAATTAGAGAAACAAAGACTTTAAGAAACCCCTACTGTTAAGCAAGGCCGGATTAACCATATGGGCAACTGGGCAACTGCCCAGGGGCCCATGATCTCTAAAGGGCCCAGGGCAGTGACGGCATAAGCAAAATATCTGGTTATCTCCTGTTTTACTTGGAGCCCTGCGCTGCACAGACTGCTGCGCTTCCGCTGCATTTGTGCAGCCCCGCCTCCTCCTAGCGCAGCTGCTGCAGCTCTCCGTTTTTTTCCCCCCAATCTGATTCTCGACGGTGCGACCTGTCAATCAACTCAGAAGGCGTGTCAGTAACTGACCAATCAACGACCTCAATTTGTCCCAAAGGTAAACACCCCTTACCTGCTGACAAGCTCATCAGTTTTTTTTCTTGAGAAACATTGTTTTAATTAGAACAATAAGTTTGTATCTGTTGTGAGATGATTCTAGCAGTTTTGCAGATTTTTAAATCTACTTAATGAAGAATAGTATGACTTAAAATCGTTCCTAAAACAGGAAGGAAGGCTTATCATCTTTCCTCTTACTACAGTGAATGTGGTACTTTGCTATAAGTACAACTATATTTATGGCATCAGAGAAAGCTGAGCTTAAGTTATCCACATAAAGTAAAATGGCATCAGCATGAAAAGAAGGAATGTGAAGTTTGAGATTATTCCACTTTCTGATGTCTGACCAAACATTTTGTATTGACATGAAAAAAAAAAAACATATTCGAGGGATTCATCTTGTGATTTACAAAAGGCACATAAATCAACCTCAAATTTAAATATTCTTTGCAGAAACATGGCTACAGGATACATCTTATTATTTTTAAATGATTCTCCTTCACTTTAGGAGATTTAGGCCATTTGACAAATTTAGAATGAGCAGAAGTCATTATGAACAACAAAAAAGGTTGAATCATGTCATTATGGTTTGATGATTTATATTGGGAGGTTTCTTGAAGGAATCTTTGTTATAATCTATAAATCCTTTGTCTCAAACATTCATTGATAATCTTATTACATTTGAAGTCAACTAAGTTAGTCATTTAATTTTAATTTGGGCATCAAATTGTCACCTTTGAATATATCATATTTTTAATTAATTGAATCAGCTGTTGGTCAGGCTACTTCTTGTTGTGCCATTAGCTCTAAAACAGTTACTGAATCAAGTGTTTACTTCCATCCATCCGCAGGGGTAGCAGCCTAAGTAGGGAGGCCCAGACTTCCCTCTCCCCAGACACTTGGACCAGCTCCTCCAGGGGAATCCCAAGGTGTTCCAAGTGTTTACTTAAGTAGGTAAAACTAGATGTTAAACAACCATTAAAATAAACCAGAATGCAGGAAATGGCATCTACTTTATTCAAAATTTTCTGGGGGAGGACCCACAGACCCCCCCATCAGTGTGTCCCCCCAACACACACATTATAAATGCTTCTGACACCAGTGGCCAACACGTTACTAAACAAGTACACGTATGGTGTCGTAGGTGTTCAAAGTGCATTCAACTTAATTCGGTCTTGATGATTTGTGTCAATGAGCATTTGGAGTTTTATACATAAAAATACACTTGATAGTTAGAATTTTAAGTATATTTACTGTATATTATGGTAATTTATTCTGTATTTTGCCAGATTATGGTGATTCTGGGGTGGTGATGATGGGGCCCTTGAAGATTGCTGCCCAGGGTACAGTGAAGAGTTAATCTGGCCCTGCTGTCAAGGTGTTTAGGTGTGAATTGCCAATCTACATATGTGTCATCTCACTCAGCCTTATAACCTGAATCTCTCACTCACTGCTGTTTGAACTGAGAAAGCTCCTCGGATGAGGAGCGAAACGTTTTCTGTTACAAATAAAGTCCAGTTGTTTTTGTATTGAACCTTTTTTGAATAAAGTCGATTTGCTGTGGTGGCCATCTTGGATTGGCTGCACAAGTGGCAGCAGATGTGCATCATCTAATGAATTTCTAAGTTTCAGCAAAATATCATCATGAGATCCAAAAAAGTTCAATCTGGTCCTCTGGACATTCAAAAAAACAAAACAAAGCAAAAAAAAAAAAAATAGAAATGTTTCGTCTCTCATCCGAGAGACTTCCTCAGTCTGAGTTGCTAAATTCAGCTCAGTCTCTTAAATAACACCTCCTCAGAGTGGATCAACCAGTTTGCTGCTGACAACCAAAACCAGCTGCTCACATGGTCAAGAAGGACCATCAGCCTAACAATGGATCATTAGCACACTGATGGCTGTTTGCTATTCACAGGGGGTTGAGTGATACTAGCAATCACAGCATTGTAAGAGGGGGACAGTTGAACCCGGAGGCCTCCACCCCTGTTTAATGATGGACAATTTCTTTTCACAAAGATGGCCTCCTTTACTCCTCTCTCAAACCATCGTTCCTCTCTGTCCAGGATGTGAACATCTTCATCCCTGAAAGAGTGACTGCTGGCCTGGAGATGAGTGTAGACGGCAGAATCCTGGCCTGATGATGTTGATCTTCTGTGCTGGGCCATCCTTTTGGCCAGTGGCTGTTTAGTTTCCCCAATGTAAGACTGATCACAGCCCTCCTGACACTGAACAGCATACACAATATTACTCTGTTTGTACCGGGGGACTGGATCTTTGGGATGAACCAGTCTTTGCCGTAATGTATTTTGGGGTTTAAAAGCCACTGGGACGTTATGTTTAGCCATCAGGTGTAAAGGAGGAACCCAGACCCGTGGTCATTCCGTATGTTGAGGGAGTATCAGAGAAACTGAAACGTTTATTTTCTAAACATAGCGTCCCAGTGGCTGTTTAGTTTCCCCGATGTAAGACTGATCACAGCC